TGTATAGCCAAATAAAATCTCACTTTTATGACTATTGCCTCTTTTTGTTCCTTTTAAGTGGGAAAACAAAGAATTTTTTTTTTTTTTGGTATGCCAGTGTTCGTTTGGCTGTTCTCTCACATAATGGTTCATTGGAATCTATGCATGAGATCCCACCCTCCCTCAAAAAGCATAAGAGCGCGCATAGCAGAGTCTGAAAAGAGTTAAGAGATGAAAGGCTGCGTTAAATTGCTTCATGTCTCAAAATGCGTAACATTACAGTGCTAATGAACGTAAACAATGTGCAGTGCTCTAGTTGTATTCACCTGACTGATGCAGATTAGTTTGGTTTCTGATTGAGGTGTTGACATGGAAATGCATAACTCCAAGTCTGAATCCAAATGCAATGATTGGACAAATTTATTTATTTATTTTTTTTGGTCCTGAGAACTCTACAGAAGATATGTGCATGTTTTAATATTGGAATACTTTTATTATTGATTGCTATAGGGTAAAGTTTCAACCAGTATTGCCAATTGACAATAGTCTTCTGCATTCTTAATGTTCAATGTGTTTGGACATCAGTGAAGACAATGGAGACACTATAGGAGCTGAAGAGTCATGCTTTAAATCGCTTATGCAGAGTTCACACTGACTAAGTTTACATGCAGCCAATTGTCGGGTTAAGGTCACTATTTGGGTTTCTGGAACATTAGGAATAACCCGTTTACCATGCGTGAGCAGAGAGAGTTTCTCCTGTATACATGGAATTGCAGAATCCTGATGTAAATGGCGACGTGCGGTTAGCGTCTAGACGTACGGACAACTTTAGACGACGCAATATGCGTCATTTCCGATTCTTCTTCCTGTATCCAAAGACTATAACAACAGCAGACAAAGCTGAAAATCGGTCCGACGCGAAAAAGAGTCGCACGAGTCAGAATTCGGCTCAAAATCGGACGAAAATCGCACAGTGTATGCCCGCCTTAATTGGTGATTCGATTCACACGGAACGTGAACATGGAGACACCAGCCACACATAGTCACATGTTTGCCGGGAGCCAGTAGTAGTTGATGACATTTAATATCCAATAATATTATTGATATGTGTTGTATTATATTCATGTTATCATGTGAAGCTGTTTTGATACAATCTGTATTGTAAAAAGCGCTATATAAATAAGGTGACTAATACCCTTGATCAGCTCTACCAAACGTGGATGCTTTTCCACTAAGTTCCACTAAACAAACATTGTTATTAAGTTTTGATTGATAATGTGAAGCTGCTTTGATGCAATCTATATTGAGAAATGCGCTAAATAAATATACTTGGCTTGAAAACATTGGCTTGAAAAGCAGCACAGTGTAAAATGTATTTACCCCCAACTCTCTTTGCACAACACAAAACCCTTGCTCACCTCGTCTCCCCAAACCCTTTCCTCCACCATAATCTGTTGGAGTTTTTTTTTTTTTTCTCCTTTTCACTGCAAATCAACTTGCAGACTATTTGTATTGAAAATCCTCTTGCAGGCTATCATTTTTAATAACAATGTTTAATAACGATGTTCAATGCAGAGTTATGCCAGGTCTCCTGAAGAGATCCAATTCCTGGAGAGTTTAGTCATAACTACAACTTGTAACTTGTGGTAGAACTCCGACTTGTACCATGTGATCGCTGTACCACCTGACCACTGCAGATTCATTTGCCGTTGATAGTGTTGCCATAAAACCAATCAATCATCTCCAAATTTACGGTTATTATTACGACGTCCACCCTGATCAAACACACCTGAACAAGCTAATCAAGGTCTTCAAGAATAGGCTATATTAGAAAGCTACAGACAGGTGATTTCCATTAGGGTTGGAGTTGCCCAGAACTCCAATTGGATCTTTAAAAACGCATTTCCAAAAAGTGCTTTAAACTCTTTTCATAGCGTTTGCTGTGGGACTCAGGTGGTATTTTGATGCAGCAACAGGGTTGTCCTTTGTAGTTTTGTGGTCCTCGCTGTCCGCCCCTGCTGACTCACTAATTCAGTGCATCTTCCAGCAGAGTTGATTGTGAGATCGCAGGTCGAGAGGATGACAGTTCAAGTGTACTGCTTGTTTAGTGTGGTTTTATTGGGTCTACCCAGGGGGCAAAACACCTGTTTTTTAGGAAATCAGACATGGGCTGCTGTAAAAGGTTGTCGTATAAAAATGAAATCTACGATGTCTGAGGATCGCAACCTGGGTGGACAACCCGGTGAACAAGCTGCTGGAAACTTGTAATTAGGGTCAAAACAATGCTACCTCAAATTCTGCTTTAACTCCCCGGAATCACCCAAACATGCTAAAACGGTTTGATTATATTCATGAATCCTAAGCCATATCTCCCTGATACTTTATGCTAGAAACAAACTGAGCAGACCGTTCAAAAGAGTGGAAGATAAGCTTTCATCTGATGCATTGACTGTACATGTAATTAGAAAGTAAGAGTGAACAATGCCTCTTAATTCATAGGTAGGCAAAAAAAAGAAGAAAAAAACATATATAAACATTCCATTGTAATCGTAACATTATTACCCTTTGTTGTTGTTAAAAAAAAAAATTACCATGTGAAGTTCACTTTTACTAGATGAAATCATATTTTGATCATTTTCACTAACCATACAGTCCCTATGGTCCATAACAAATTTAGAGGGAATTCAATTTCAAGCCTATAATAGCCTGTCAATTCAATTAAGTTCCAAGAAAGAAGTTAACCATTAACTGATGTTTATGTATGTACAGTATATAGTTTGCATATTTATGCAATATATATATATATTATTTGTATTGCAATGTCTAGTATTTGTAATATTCTTTCACAAGTGGGATAGCTTTATTCTATCAAAAAAAAAAAAAGGATTTGAGGATTTTGGGTTAGGCTGGTTACTGAGTCTGAGACAAAGGTACTGACAACTAAATGTTGAAATACTAAAACCCACAGGAATCATGTGTGGAGTAGTTTTAAAAGTATTTAATGATTAAAACTGTTACATTAAGCAGCAATTTGTAAAAAAAAAATATTAATAATAATAATACTAATTAATGAAACAGATTACAATTCAGGGTGATAACTAATTTCTGTAATAATGTTTATACAATTTGTTTTTGCTGTTTTCGGAGTCACTGCTGCTGTCGCTGCTCTCTAGTGTTTCAGCATGCTGTATCCTACTACATTTGGTTGCCAACCCCTGGCAATGGCATCCTATGTAGCATGGAATTCACCTTTGGCTAAGCCCCGCCCCCCTTAGTTACTGTTGCTACATCCGTCAAACTTCATCTGCGCTCTGCATGGCTTATGCTGTAACAGCTGTTCCTGCTGAAATGGTCTCAAACTTTTATAAAGCAGCATATAAAGTGTCTGATGGAAGTAGGCAAAAGGGGCTGCAATATGCGTTCAGAGGCTATATTCAAGACACACAGGTGAAACGCAAGAAACAACAAGGCATCCAAAATAGAGGTAAAAGCATAACGTTACCGGTCACAGTCAAAAAATGAACCATTGCATTTCCTACTAATGGAGACGGAGGCTGGGACTATAACAATATCAGGGAGCAACACTGTTCATGCAAAGCTGGGTAGGTCTCTATTCACTTCTATAATCGTTATTACAAAGCAAACGGACTACACGAGTACTGTATAACATTGTATTTATTAGCAGCGTGTGCTAGCGTATCAACAACCAGTATGAGAACTGAAATCATAACCTAAAACATTATAAAACGGTCTAACTAGTATAACTTCACACTCACAGTAAGGTTAGAAGCAAAAAAGATGTGCTTGTTGATATTTGAGGGGTTTATCTGACTGAGGACGTCCATACAGTTTAATCCAAACACGACACTTGTTACTGTCAGGATTTTACTTGGGTTTTGGGAAGGGAAAAAACGGACACCCCCCTCCAACCTCTCTGGGAAACGCGTATCTGTGTTGCAAATGCCCGAGGCACAACGTTTAACCATATTTTGGATAAAACTACGACGGTAATAGCCTGCCGAGACCAAAAATATGAGACGCCTGTGTTGAAAGTCAATGGAGCGCTGTGAAAAACTGTCGGACCTCTGTGGGAGCTGGTTCTTGGCTGGGCTGTGATTGGTCAATCTACATTCTAGGGGCGTGGCTTAGCCAAAGGTGAATTGCCTTCAACTGCTTGGCCCTCATCCAGAAATCATCCAAAATTCCTGAAGGGGGGAATTTCTGGCTTGGCAATATGTGCATTCTCGTCACTAACGGTTGCCAGAGCTGCCCATTTAAGGTGGAAGAGAAATGCGTTTTCAGTCGGAGGAAGTAGCTTTAAGAGTGTTGATTTGTTGTTCAATAACTTGTATGCTCTCAGTTGTCCCCAGATCAGAATCTTCAAAGTGATCAGCTGAGGATGTATACACATCTATGATCTGTTATGTCATCAGTTGTGTTTTGACCAAACTCTTCAAGTGCAGGTATGTCCATTCTCATGCTGCTTTTGAACCAAGACTTCTTACCAGTGAAATAAGGAGAACTAGTTGTATCTCTTCCACTAAGACTGTGGAGTAGTGAAGGTCCCAGTGCTGCTACCATTTCATGAATGGGCAGATAGGCATTCTCTGTTGTTCTCACCCACAGCTCTGGGAGAGTACTGAGGTATGTTGCACCATAGTACAGGCACATGACAATGATGTCTGCGTCATTGGCATGGATGACAACTCTGCCAACTCCTTCATTCTGGACACTGTAGAGGGTGTGGAGTATTATCCTTGTGTCTGCCTCCTTCTGTGTGGACTCAAGAGCAGGAACATCCCTGACAGAACCATCTGCAAGCACAACGGTCTTTGTCTCTTCTTTAAATCCACCACCCATGTAGATACGAGTCAGGCCAATTGGAGGCTTGAGTCGTTCATGCTCACACCACCGCTCACAGAGGAATTGAAGGAGATTTGCTTTATTGGCTGATACAGAAAAAAACTCCTGTGGATCTGGAGCTGTGAACTGCTCACTAACTTCATATACTTTGGCAGATTTTAAGTTTTTTTTTTTTTTTTTAAGTTAACAGATCATTGCCAGTGGTGGACAACTCAAAATTATTGACTTTATTGGCAAACATGAGTGCAGTGACTTCCCCCCCCATCCCTCTTCCAGGAAGATGGCAGTATGAGGACTGGTACCAAGGTGAGCTTAGTGAAGATCCTGAAAGAGGAGACCAGAGTGACCATCATTCCTGATCTGCCTCAAAGGATCTTCACTAAGCTCACCTTGGTACCAGTCCAGTCAATAATGTTAAGTTCTCCACCACTGGCAATGATCTGTTAACTTTTTAACACATGTGAAGGAAAAAAACATCAGTTGTCATCGACGCTATGTGTGCCGTACGCCACTGGTCTTTTCTCAAAGGTGAAACATTTGGACACATTGCTGATAGATATAAAAAAAATGCTGATGAATGATGTACCTGTTGGTACTGAGATTACACACTTCTGTTGTGACCGATACAGTGGACCAAGCCTTAAGTCTGCTGAGCAAAGCCGGAGGTACACACAAAAATCTGCCAAAGTATATGAAGTTAGTGAGCAGTTCACAGCTCCAGATCCACAGGAGTTTTTTTTCTGTA